TATTTTCGTCTAGTATAATATATTTTTTAATATTATTATTATTTAATATTAATTTTTATTATAATAATAATTATTATATATATTTATATATATTATATAATAAATATTTTAATAATAATTATTTTAATATTATTTAATATATAAATAGTTTAAAAAATCAAACATAGATGGCGTTACCTCCCCATTGCTTTCATCCCCGTCTAGCGGCGCTGCATGCGAGTTAAGTCTATATATCTGCAAATAACTCTAAGGAAATTCAAGATATTCAAGAAATTATTTTTCGGACACCTTTCCGGGGATATACCTAATAATATCCCAGAATTTCATGGCGATTGGATGTATGGTTTTTGAATAACAGGGTTGTCTAGAGGGGGGCAGGGAGGCCACGTGTTCGCTGGCGGCCAATGGGAGCGCATTCTATCCGTGAGCTTCAGACAAACAGACAAAGCTTCAGACAAACAGACAGAATAAGGCAAATATATAAGTAGATGTGGAAGACAAAGGGTAAAAACTTTATTTTTCCTTCTAAAATTCTTAATGAATGGACCAACTAAACAACCAGACTATGGCAATGGATCAATTCCCTTAGAAAAAGCTTGGTTGAGGAGGCACTCAGAACTGATTCACCTAAAATGACTAAAATGTAAAGTGATGCAAGAGCTGGAGATTTGAGACCATTAACCAAAAAGAGGATAAGAAAGGAGAAAAGAGGATAAACACACTTACCTCAGGTACAGACACCAATATTCCCCAGACTACAATGATACGTGAGGCCACCTGCATTGCTGTCACCACTGGCGAGCTCTTGACAAACCTCACAATACAGTGGACCACCTGGACACATACAATATGACAATAAGTGGATTATTAAGGAATAATTAGCTATCAATGATTATAGCATTCTGGAACACCAACATGCTTGGGCATCTTGTCAGTAACTTGGAGTCAATAAGGGTATTACTAAACTCCGCCTTTGCCAGTCCCAAGCCTGGATGAAAAAGGAGGAGGGGGAGCAGTAAAAAGCTCGCTAAAAAACCTAGGCTTAGCTGGCCTGGCTGATAATACCCTGTAAGGGCTCCTAATCCAGTGATACAGGATGAGCAGCGTTTGTACTCCATGTTAGGAGCGGCTGCACAATGGCGTCTGTTCCTCATGTCAGAGACGGCCATTTCTTTTGGAGCTAAGTCACTTGCCACTGAGTAGTGCACCCAGCCTTAATGACAAAGGCAGACACATTCTACTTCACCCAGTCATGATGGTTGTCAACTTTACAAGCTTGATACTCTAATATGATTGAGTGGAGATAAGAAAAAAGAAGAATGGTATTACTGGAGGGATGGATGGTGGGAAGCTCAGGAAGAGAATTCTTGGACAATTTTAAGAGAAGACTTTATAATGTCATCAAAAAGCTGATCCTGAAAAGGAAACTCTGGGATGACAATAATACTGCCCAACAATCTATGGATTGAGGTGAAAGGGATGAAAAATAAAATAAAAAGGGCTAAAATATATATGAAAAAATACATTATATATATAACCTCTTCAATTCAACACTTACATTAATTCAACAGTTTTTAAAATTACAATCGGGCTATTTAATATTTAGCCCAATATAATCAAACACGGACTTTAAATCAACCAAAAATGTTGATTCCTTGGGGCGTTGAATTAAAGAAGTTAGACTGTGATAGGACATGAAAGAAATCTTTTTATTTTTTAAAAAACACATTGTAAAGGGGATGAGAAATATCTAATGTCAGTATGGTAGATACCCTGCCATCAGAGGCCACCGTTAAACAGAATACTACACTGATCTCTCATCAGAGGGATTGTATTATACCAAATAATTTATATGATTTTACATATGTGGTCTCTTATCCGAGGTTGTGTTATACCAAGCTATTTAAATAATTTCAAATATGTGGTATATCTCGTCAGAAGTTTTGTTATATCAAGTCATTTATAAGATTCTACATAGGCTGTCTCTCACAAAAAGGTTTCAAGGATCTCACCTCAAGAAGAGCTAGAGTTTGGAAGAGAAGCAGGGCCTTGTCCACATCCTGCCATAGAGACTTGAAACTCCCTTCCTTGGCAAACACCAGCGTCTCTCTGGTCAGGAGGTAGGCCCATCTACACAGCACCCAGTACATATTTACATACAAAGCAATAACACACCATCTATATATAACAGATGAAAACATTAAGACATGAATGTTACTTTTCACAAGTAAATCAACTCTGCCTTTGCCGGTCCCAAGCCCGGATGAAAAAGGAGGAGGGAGGAGCAGTAACAAGCTCGCTAAAAAACCTGGGCTCAGCTGGCCCGGCTGATAGTACCCTGTAAGGGCTCCTAATCCATGGATACAGGATGAGCATTGTTTGTACTCCATGTTAGGAGCGGCTGCACATGGCGTCTGTTCCTCATGTCAGAGGTGGACATTTCTTTTGAAGCTAAGTCGGCCTGCCACTGAGTAGTGCTCCCAGTCTTAATGACAAAGGCAGACGCATTCTACTTGACCCAATCATGATGGTTGTCAACTTTACAAGCTTGATACTGTAATATGATTAAGTGGAGATAAGAATGAAGAAGACAAATAAATCAAACCTTTACCGTCCTTACTGCGATGAAAAAGCTTATATCCATAGTTTTCTCAAATAGCATTTCTAAGATTCCACCCTTCAGGGTAGCATATAAAAGCAGAATGATCCAATACAGTATTAGAGCTCTAAAGAAGCGATCTGGTAGATTAAAAATTGGTGAAACCGCTGGGAGGGTTCACCACTCATGAGTCAAGCCCTCCCAATATTTTTTCATTGCAGTAAGGACAGTAGAAGTTTATTTTATTTGTGAAAATAAACACTTGCATCTTAATATCTTCATCTGTTATATTAACATACACTATTTCAGTAAGGACAGTAGTAAATTGTATTTTTTTGTTGTTGTTGTTAAAGAAAAAGTTTTGAAAATATAGAATAACCTCTTTAATTCAACCAAAAAGATTTTAATTCCCAAGGCTGTTGAATTAAGGAAGTTGGACTCTCTCTCTCTACTCTCTCTCTCTCTATAATTAGAACATTTAAGGTATTTATTAATATAATTAGGACATTTAAGGTATTTTTTATAATTTGAAAGTGCCCAATGTGTGATTAGATCTTGGGTTGTAGCGGTCAAAAACCAACAGTTTAGACCACTCATCCATCGACCCCTGAGAGGTATCCTTTTACTGGAGAGTTGCTAACTAGTAAAATAGTAATTTTGCCAATATGAAAACTGTGTCTTTTATTGAAAGGTGTCTTCTAATGTGAATGTCCTTTCATGGAATATTTCTTTATTTTGACTTAGAGCGCTATGTCCCCCTAGAGACACTTGCACTTTAAAGATAAACAAAAATTTTGAAAGAAAAGAAAGAAAGATAATGGAATGATCATGGAATATGTTCTTGTAGTAAACGATAAAATTGTGCTACAAATTATAAAAATCAAAATACAACCTTTCGCATTGAGTTTCTTTTATTAGAATATGCTCTTACTGTATTATCAAATATTATCTCTACAGACACTTTACTGCAATAATAAAAATGGCTAGATGAGAGGGCATGACTCATCAGTAGTGAACCCTCTTAGTGGTTTCGCCAAATTAATCTCCAGACCACTCTACTATTGTATTGGATTATTTTTATTATATACCTTACATTTACTAACAAAGAAGGCTTAGGGATGTTTAGGGAACCTATGGACATAAGCTTATAGATTTTTAGAGGTGAAAACAGAATTACAAGATACAATAGTAGAGCGGACAGGAGAATAATTTGGTCAAACCACTGAAAGGGTTCACTACTGATGAGCCAAGCCCTCTCATCTAATATATTTTATCAATTCAGAGATATACACTGGTCCGTAAAATTAAAGGAACAACATATTTTTTTCATTTATCTCAAATTTTATTGAACATTTATCAAGAAATTTTATACACAAATTTATTATTCCATTATTGATTAGAATACCCGAAATCAAAGAATTTTAACACGTATTTTATGCAAATTAGCCGGTCAAGCAATGATCTTCTTGCAGTCAGTGCATAAATATCTTGGATATTGTTGTTAATATGGGGTGTGATCGTCTTTAACTGATAGACAGGCTCTACATCGGTGACCCATACTAAGAATGGCCAACTTTACTTGATTTTGTATAACCTATTTATTTCCTCTCAGTTTACAGGTGTCGAGTCACCTTGTCCTGGCTGTTTACATATGGAGAGTTGGTGGAGTAGAGGTGACAGACCTTGTAGCTGTTGGAGCTCCTAACTAGACGTCATGGCCAGAAATTAATATTTCCTTGATTTTATACAACCTATTTATTTCCTCTCAGTTTACAGATGTCGAGTCACCTTGTCCTGGCTGTTTACATATGGATAGTTAGTGGAGTAGAGGTGACAGACCTTGTAGCTGTTGGAGCTCCTAACTAGACGTCATGGCCAGAAATTAATGTTTCCTTGATTTTGTATAACCTATTTATTTCCTCTCAGTTTACAGGTGTCGAGTCACCTTGTCCTGGCTGTTTACATATGGAGAGTTAGTGGAGTAGAGGTGACAGACCTTGTAGCTGTTGGAGCTCCTAACTAGACGTCATGGGCAGAAATTAATGTTTCCTCGATTTTGTATAACCTATTTATTTCCTCTCAGTTTACAGGTGTTACATTCGAGTCACCTTGTCCTGGCTGTTTACATATGGAGAGTTGGTGGAGTAGAGGTGACAGACCTTGTAGCTGTTGGAGCTCCTAACTAGACGTCATGGGCAGAAATTAATGTTTCCTCGATTTTGTATAACCTATTTATTTCCTCTCAGTTTACAGATGTTACATTCGAGTCACCTTGTCCTGGCTGTTTACATATGGAGAGTTGGTGGAGTAGAGGTGACCTCCCAGACCTTGTAGCTGTTGGTGAATGAGAGAATATGGTTTTACTGGCTACTAACCAAAGTGTATGATTTTCGAGCCCATAAAGGTAATAACCTACAGTTCCCATGTGGTCACCCTTCCAAGTACTGACCGGGCCCGACGTTGCTTAACTTTGGTGTTCGGATGAGAACCTGTGTTTTCAATATGGTATGGCCGTAGGCAAAAAGACGCCTGAGCAGGGGCACAAACCGAATGAGAAAATATATCACAGCATGTTTTAAATAGCTTTTTTTTTTTTGCTTATCCCTAGTACATGTGGTACAGGCCATGATAATCGTGGTGGGTAGAAGAAGGCGACTGCTTTTACTGTAAGTGCACCACATGTCTATACATGTGAGAAGCAGTTCAACTTTGCACTTACGAATGTGCCAGAGCCCAGTTTGGTTACTTGCACTCGCTGGTGGGGTTGGACTTTTGCAAGAATCGGGGGCCATTGGAGCATTTAAAAAATAAAAAAAAGTGCCCAATGCGGGAATCAAACTCAGGTCGTAGCGGCTGAAAACCAACAGTTTAGACCATCCTTCCACAGACTTCCTTTAATCACCGACCCTTTTTAAATAGCTACTGTTATCAAGTGTGTGTAAACAAGATAGCAGATAAGAAGAAGCTGTGATAATGATAATTGTTGTTTGCTTTGATATATTTTCTCATTCAGTACTTTTGTCTTATAATGATAACAAAGCTGTTACTGAAATGTCACACACTATTTATTTATTTGGTATTATTACCTTGTGTTTCTAATCTTATAATCCAAATTGTGCCTAATCAGTATTCAGAGAATGTTTGATTTATGCTGAATGCTTGATGATGGTAACCATGGTGTGCTGATACCAAAATGGCAAAGCGCCATCTATCTGAATAAATATCAACTAAATGATGTGATTATCAGTCTCAATTACAAACACACATAGCTTTATTAAGACCACTGGTCTTATACAGATTCACCACAGGAAGAAAGGAAGCATAGATCCAGGCAGCGTACAACTCAACAACAGCCTACAGGTCAGACAAATGTCCAGTGGCCACAACGTGCATACGTCAAGGTTAATTATTGTTATAAGGTACAATTTGGATTATAGATTAGAATTACAAGATAATAGCACCACATCCAAATAAATTAATAGTGTGTGACATTTTGGTAAATGCGTTGTTACCATCATTGTCTGATGATGATAATAATAATAACACTGTTACCGAAATGTCACAGTATTAATTTATTTGGTCTTATTACCCTGTAGTATCTATTATCATTATTGTTATTATTCACAAAGGTAACAAGATCAAATACAAATAAATAAATTATAGGTGGCATATATTGTGTGTGTGTGTGTGGTAATAGCATAGTTAACATTTTAACTTTTGATGATGACAATAATATGGGGGGTCGGTGGAAGGATGGTCTAAACCTTGGTTTTCAACCGCTACGACCCAGGTTCGATTCCCGCATTGGGCACTTTTTTCTGATAAAAAAAAAAAATGCTCCAATGACCCCCAATTCTTGCAAAAGTCCAATCCCACCAGTGAGTGCAAGTAACCAAACGGGGCTCTGGCACATTTGTAAGTGAAAGTCGAACTGCTTTTCACATGTGTAGACATGAGGTGCAGTTACAGTAAAAGCAGTCGCCTACTTCTACCTACCATGATTATCATGGCCTGTACCACGTGCACTAGGGATAAGCAAAAAAAAAAAAACGATAAGGCACAATGTGGATTATAGATTATAAACACAAGGTATTAAGACCTAATCCAAATAAATAGTGTGTACTATTTATTTATTTGGATTTGGTCTTATTGTCTTATTACCTTGTGTTTTTGATGATAACAATGATTTTACCAAAATGCTGTTTATAATTTATTTATTTGGTTTTGTGACCTTTGTGATGGAGGTCGATGGACGAATGGTTATAAACTGTTTATTTCTGACAGGCACAAACCAAGAACCCTGCCTTTGCCGGTCCCAAGCCCGGATGAAAAAGGAGAAGGGGGAGCAGTAACAAGCTCGGTAAAAAACCTGGGTTCAGCTGGCCCGGCTGATAGTACCCTGTAAGGGCTCCTGATCTAGGGATACAGGATGAGCGGCGTTTGTACTCCATGTTAGGAGCGGCTGTACATGGCGTCTGTTCCTCATGTTAGAGGTGGCCATTTCTTTTGGAGCTAAGTCGGCCTGCCACTGAGTAGTGCTCCCAGTCTTAATGACAAAGGCAGACACATTCTACTTCATCCAGTGTAAAGATAAGAAAGAAGAAGACGAACCAAGAACGAATCTTGTCTTGTACAGTATTTTCTGAATAAAAAATTTCTCCAATGAACCCTGATTCTTGCAATAGTGCAACCCCACCAGTGAGTGCAAGTAACCAAATGAGGCTCTTTCTAAGTGCAAAAGCCGAGTTACTTTCTACAAGTGTAGCCATGTGGTTCTCACTTACAGTAAAAAGCAGTTGCCAACAACTACCTACCATGATTATTATTATAGCTTGTACCACGCGCGCCATGTGTGTACTAGGGATAATAATAATTAGTTAAAACAAAAACAAAAACTTTGCTATTCTTATCTACAATCTAAATTACACCTCAGCACTATTATTAGTGCTGTGAAAAAACTCTCTTTGCAGAAAGAGTCTTCATTAACAAAATATAATTTTGTAGAATGGCCACAGTATGAAGACAATATTTATAATGTGCTTGTCAATTCTGGCATATAGAGCTGCTATGCAAATTCCTTGAACCCTTTCCAGCCCAGACTTATTCTAGCTACTAAATAACAGACACGAAATAGGAATAAATAATATTACAAATGATGTTGATTATAAACACAAAGTAATAAGGCCAGATCCAAATAAATAAATAGTGTGTGATGTTTCGGTAACAGCATTATTACCATCTTCAGACAAAAGTACTGAAACTGGTCCTATTCTAATCAATGTCACCGCTTTACCAGAAGTATCCTTTTCTGGGAACCAGGTAAAACTGGTGGAAAAATGGCCCTTTACTGTTAAAAACTGTGATGGATGAACACTCATTGCTGGGCAGTTGAGCATTGGAATTGTATGGTAAATTTCAACTTTTGTCTGAAGATGGTAACAACGCTGTTACCGAAACATCACACACTATTTATTTGGATTTAGTCTTATTACCTTGTGTTTATAATCTTTAATCCAAATTGTGTCTTATCAAATGATATTGATGTTAGGTCAATTGAAGGAAGAGAGAAGGATCTGTAATGAGCTGACTAGAAGGGGTTAAGAAAGCTACAGGAAGGTCACTAAATGAGCTGTGAATGATGGTCAGTAATTGATCAAATTGAGGAATATTTGTCTGCATAGTCAGCAAAAGTCAAACACAACTTGATGGATGTTAACAACAAAACTTAAATATCAAACATTCACTTGTACAGTGGACCCTCGGTTTGCAAGCATAATCAGTTCCAGAGCCATGCTCGTACTCCAAAACGCTCGTAGTGCGAAACTAATTTCTTATTTTTAATAATTGAAACTCGGGCAATTCTTCTTGCTACGAACAATTGCACAGTTTCCCACATTTTACATATTTCCCGAATCTGATCTGAAGGGAGGGATCCCAGTGAATTTTCATCCATCACGATTACGGGCAACCATCACGAGTTGCTCGTAATGCGAAATTTCACTCATAATCCAAGGTAAATTTTTCAAAAAATTTTGCTCGTACTGCGAAAAGCTCGTACTCCAAGGTGCTCGTAAACCGAGGGTCCACTGTAGTTGTAATTTGAATTCTAGAAAAAAAAAAAGGGGGTGAATAAGACTAAATGCTAAAGTTATAGGTAATGTTTGTATAAAGGTAGTTGGTATGATTGGACTGAAGAAATTAATCTCTATTCATTAGTTTCTGACTCACTCATCAGTACTTTGGTCTGAGAATGGTAGAAATATTGTTGCTGAAACATCATGTCCCTGAACAACAGTATTTGATTTCCAGAAGGGTTGCAAAGTTTTCCCACTATGTACTAAGTGAAATTCTCAACCTGCAACCCCAAACCACATCATTGGCTGCATTGATGAGCTCAACTCATCCCCTGCAGACACCATCTCAAACTCCACAGGCTTGATACCCTGATATTATTGGATGGAGATAAGAAAGAAGAACATCATGCCTCAACTAATATAAGGTACAATTTGGATTAAAGATTAGGACTAAAGGTACCAAGGCCAAATAAGTAATTTACAGTAACATTTTTGTATAAATGCATTGTCACCATCTTATGGCAAAGTATTGAATTAGAAAAAAATATCACAGCATGTTATATAGTTGGTAGTGTTATCATTAAAGTAAACAGGAGTAATAAAACACTAAAGAAGAAAAATAAACAAGATATAATTATTTTAATATTTTCATCTAAAAATGAAAACGTGGTTGCTAAGATATCTGGTATCATTTACTTATTTATATTTGGTCTAGTTGCCTTGTGATCTTTTTAGTTAGGTAGTTCAGAGATCGGCTTGAGAAGAATCGGAGACCTCCAAAAACTTTGATACCACTGGAGATAGAATTAAATTGTGCAAAGTATTTTTGTTTTTTAAAAACTCAGATGTGGGTCACTCTAGCAAGATATATTAAAAAAATATACTCTAAAAAATATTATTGAATCTTAAATTTTAACAGAAAGTGAATTTAAAAAAACAAATAAAACATTTAGGCAACTTCAACAATAAGCTACAGAGAGGGTGGTAGAATAAATTGTAATTAATAAGAATGTCTAATTTCCAACGCGACTATAATTTTATGGGGTAAGATGCTCTATCTTATTTCTGAAACTGCGTGAAAAACACGCCGCCGATTTTATTATTCCGCGTAAGACCTACTCGCCGTTGGCAAAAGTAGTTCCATTTTAAAAACAACCCAACCTAGCGGGGAATGGCATAATCGGCGACACGTGGCCAACAGTTGTCGCAAAAATGACTATCTCACCAAATTTCTGAACATAAGGAAGAGAGTAAACACACATTGAGGTTGAAAAAAAAAAAACCGCTAAATGCTACGTAACTATGCTTTGCTTATTTTGGGAAGCTTACTTCAATTTGCAAGTAAAAACATGACTGGCAAAATAAACATTTTCAAAGAGTAATGAAATAACCAATGCTATTTCATTTGGGAGGTCGGAATTTCTTGCTGTAACGTCGTTTT